GTTTTAGATGCTGTGGCTCAGGTTAACTTTGTGTCATTCTCTAGAGCTCCCTTTTCATTTGTTTTTCTGTAGCGTTCCAAAATCTGGAAGCTAACTCATAGACCCATTTTTATTTTAACTTTTCCCTTTATTTGTATGGATCTTCAAAAAGCACATGAAAATGTGTATTCTGAGAAAATTGTGCATAGTTTTAAAAATTGTTTTACACAAAATAAACTCATACTAATATGTTATAGCATGTGCGAACAAGATCAAGTTTGAGGTACTAAGAAGAACAAAGGTGGCAATTAGAAAAGAGCTCTAAGAGCAAAATGAATTTTGCAAAGATTGAAACAAGAACAGAGATCAAATTTATAGTGAAAGAATGATGAAGTCACTGTTGCTTTACAAAGATTTTATGTGGATAATACCTCAAAGAAATTAGTTTACAATTTCTTGGGTAATTCAGGGTTTTTTTGTTTTTTAATTGCCAGGGAGATTACTAGAGGGAGACAGAGAGAAAGAGGGAGGGAGAAGACAACGCCCCCTCCAGTGGGCATCGTCATGTCACAGTTCCCTCTCCATTTCTCCATCCTGTTAGGATTTTGGGCACACATGCATACATGTGGGGCAAGTTTTTGAAATAGTTGGGGCTGTGACTCAAACCATAGTCAGCTTGTGGGATCTGGCTCCCCCAACCACCAGGCCCCAGGGCTGGCCTGGTAACTTTTTAAGAAGGGATGAGATGATGTTGAAGATAACACCCACGGAGGTGGGTCATTCACATCCATTTGTGAGCAAAAAATATTTTTTCTGGCCCTAATAAAAAGGACAATTAACTGCAGAAAAAATAGACAACTCTGTAGACTTCTCATTTGGTTCAGTTTACACAATTTTGACTGAGAAATCGAAGTTAAACATACTTTCAGTGGTGCGGGTACCAAAACTGTTGGATCCGTATTTGCAGACAAGAGCAGAGGTTTCAAGGGAAATTTTAAACAAGTGTAATCAGTATCTGGAAGCATTTCTCTGAAGAATTTTTGTTTTTAGAGGTTTTTGCTACAGGGCACATGTGCTCGCCAGAACGACAGACAGACAGACAGAGAGACAGAAAGCGAGAAATCACCCCATGGGGGGGATGGCCACACTACAATCCCTTCTCCTCCATTCTCTTGGGATCTTGGGCACACATGCGCAAGCAGCCCGTGTGAGTTTAAGCCACCAGGTCTGGGACTTGAACCGCAGTCGACTACATGGGAGTCCAGCGACATACCTATTACGCCAACTGCTGGTCCCATCTCTGAAGAATTTAACAGAAGACAATTTGATCCTGAAAACACAAGGCAGTGGTTACCAAGAGGTGGAAGTGGTTTAGTCAAAGCAAAAGTGGATTGGTTACGAGCAAATGTCATGGCAACAGTTGCTTAGGTTGCTCAAGGCATTTTGCCTGCTGACTTTCTTGAAGGCCAAAGAATGACAACGTGTTTATGTAAGAGTCTTTTGAGAAAGTTAGTTGAAGTTTTAGTAGAAAAGCACAGAAGAAAGCTTTACCAGAAGGTCCTTTTCCACCAGGGCAATGCTCCTGCTCATACCTCTCAACAAACAAAGGCTAGTTTGGGAGAGTTTCTATGGGTATCCACCTTATTGTATTGACTTGGCTCCTTCCAACTTCCCAATCTTAAAAAAAAATATCTTCAAAGGACACCCATTTTTCTTCAGTTAGTGTAGAAAAGACTACATTGATATTATTAAATTCTAGGGACCTTCACTTCTTTAGGGATGGACTAAGTGGGTGTATCATATCATTGCTTACAAAAGTATCTTGAACTTGATGGAGATTATGTTAAGAAGTGAAGTTTGTGTCAATATTTTTTATGTTTATGTATATTTTTTGGGGGGTGAGAAATTTTGCTATAGGGCATGTGTGCTCGCAAGGGAGAGAGAAAAAGAGAGAGAGAGAAATCACCCCCCTCCCTCCCCATGGAGAATGGCTAGACCACAATCCCTTCTCCTTCATTCTCCTCTTGGGATTTTGAGAACACATGCACATGCGCCCAGTGTGAATTTCAAGTCACCAGGTCTGGAAACTCGAACTACAGTCAACCACATGGGAGTCTAGCACCTTAACCACTATGCCATCTGTTGGCCTTTTGTATTTCAATTCCATTTATTTCAATTCCATTTTTTTTTTTTTCTTTACAAACTCTGTGAAGGCCTCTCGTATTTTCCTTGTGATGCTCCCTTTGGATCCCAGCCCAAGAGTTTATCTTCAGTATGAGGATGAGGCCTTGTCTGAGAGTACTTTGGCTGGTTAGTTTGTGAGTTGTAGAGTCCGGCTGTTGCAGCATCTTCATATCTTACCATGAACCCCTTGCATTCAACTGCTGTTGGGGCGTGCAGAACCCTCCTAGTTTTAGCTGCTGTTCTCACAGTGTCTCCTGTGCTTTCTAAGAAGTACCTCCTTGTAATTTCATGGCTGTTAGGCTTGTCAGTTATACCAGACTTCCTCCTACTTCCTTTATAGCTGCTGGTACCCTGTAGATCTTGTTGCTCCCCCATAGATGTATATTTTGTCTTCATGGTCCTAGGGGATACTGCTCCCTAGTTTTGTTTTAGGTGTCACCCATGGATTTTGCAATTTCTCCAGTTGTCCTATCTAGTTTTAGGGGGGCAGTTCAGGGTGTGCTGCTACCCCTACCAGTGTTAACTGTCAGGAGTGGTGGTTTATGTGAGTATTTACTAGACTGACAGTGATGATGCCATTCCGTTTGAGACTAAAAGAAAGTAATTCCTAGTCTTACTTAACTGCACTTAATTTCAGTTAACTTACACGAATAAAACTAAAGATTAAAGCAAATGGCTTTATCTGGAGAAAAACACTTTTTATTTACCACAATTTGTATTGAGTCGATGCTGAGCCAGAATATTTCATTTCTGAAGTATTATTGTCACTTCTGGAAAGGAATTTCAGAAAAACACAAAAGATTGTTCACTATTTTGAGTTCCAGAAAAATAAAATTTAGAAGGTATCTATTTTATTATTTGAAAGTACTGTGGGTGTTTGTTATTTCTTTTACTTGGTCTACTCCCACAGGTGTACAAGTCATATTTTTTGGTGTTTCGAGTCCAGACTGTCATGATTGACACTGAAATTTCATTCAGCAAGATTTACCATGATTAAAAACACATCAAGAAAATTAATTGATAAGTAACAAAGGCACATTCATTTATTTTCAAGATGTTTTTGTAAATTTAAATATGCATTAGTATTTTATAGAAAGAAATTAAACTTAAAAATCCCAGTAATGGCCAATGGGCGTAGCAGTGAAATGCAGTGCTCTGTGAAACTGGTCTACATGGGACGGCTCCTGGTTTGTATCTGGAGAGCTCCCTGAGCATGCCAGGCACGTGTGTGCCCATGATCCGGGGTGTGGGTACTGACTGTCTCTCTTTCTCTGTCTTTCTGCTTGTCGAATAGGTAAGAACATTTACATATATAGTGTTTGTATATGTGGAGTGATGGTGGGTATTTGCTAAAGTTCCCAATCCAGTGTAATATGTATGCAGTTAGAATATCTAGGCTCATAAAAAAACAACAAAGCCCTGGAATTTGACAGAAAGTGGATGAATATGGAAGTTCTGTTGCTGACTGAAGCAAGTCAGGCTATGAAAGAGAGACACTGTATGTTTCCAGTTACCACATACCGATTGTCCGCCCTCTATGGCAGAAACTGAAAGACTGGAGGACATACAAGCATTAAAAATTGTTATGGACATTAGAGCCAAAGTGTAAAGAGTGTGGGAGGGGAAAAGTGTAGGAAAGGAAATTTGGGGAAAAAAATAGAGGTAAGACATTTGTCGGACACAGATATGATTTATTATTTGTTGATGAGGACATGCATAATATTCTCAACCGGGCTGGACTGAGGTGTATATCTTGCTGGGTAAAGTCTCTTTACAGTCTAAAGGATGTATGGTGATTTAATTTATAAATAATAATTAAAATGAGTAAAAAACCAATTGCACTAAAAAAGATACTATCTAGGCTCAAACTGAACTAATTATGTAATATAAATTGTTGCCAATTAATAGACTTATTTCATCTGAATAGCCATTTCTAGTATTGCAGACTTTCTTAAAAATTCTTGTCATCCTTCTTTGCTATATCTCTGTTACATTTTGGGAATGTAGGATCCTAACAAGTATTTATTTTACTTTTTTATTCAGTTATTAGTTATAGAACTGACAAGCATATCTAGGCTTGTGCGTGTGTGTACACATACACTCACACACATTGAGTTCATTCAGTGAAGTGAGTCATTCTTGAGAGCACTTAAAGCCCAGAGAGAAGTGACTTGATCAAGATTACCCAACTATCCAAGACTTTTGATTCCAGTCCAGTGCTCTTTCACAAGAAAACACTGATTTCCCTGAATGCTATGCTAAACTTAGGCTCTGGTCAGAAAAGTAAACAGGTTCAGCTAATGGTAGGTAGTGAGAGGGGAAACATGAATGCTGGCTGTCACCAGCTTTGCCTTTCCTGTGAGCCTGAATGACTAAACAGCCACAATTTCTCCTAGGCAGTCGTCAGTGCAAGTACTGATTCCTTTTCTCATTTGGTCTGTCTTACGTTTTCAGTCTCTGTGGTGTGTACTTATGACATCAGTATAGACCTTTATAATCTCATTGCATTACTATAAGCTGTGCCTTCTTACTGGGTGCACCTTTCCCCCTTGATAGCTACAGCAATTTTATGTTTTGTTTGTTTTGCTTTTAATATTCATAGGTGATATTGAGCCACTGGACCTTAGCTTAATATTTTCTTGGAAGTAATTGCATAGATCATTTTATTTATTGTCTCCTCTCCAAAATTAAGAACTAATTGAATAGTATTTGAGCCATTTTAAATCAGAATCAGCATATGTCTTTTAAACATCATCTCTGGAAGCTTTCCTTAGGGGAAGATGTTTTGAATCCTTCTAATATTATACTTATGATTGTTTCTTTGTTTTGCATTATAGCGAAAATGCCTCGTGTAAAAGCAGCGCAAGCTGGAAGACAGGGCCCTGCAAGGAGACGTCTTGCAGAACAGTTTGCAGCTGGGGAGATAATAACTGACATGGCGAAAAAAGAATGGAAACTTGGATTACCCATTGGCCAAGGTGGCTTTGGTTGTATTTATCTTGGTAAGCAAGCGTATGACTACCTCTGATTGTCAACACAAAGATTTATATGCTTTCTTATCAAAACAGTTTCTCAATTATGAGCTATTGCAGGAAGTTCCTAATAATCTGCAGTCAATTTAATATTGCGTGATGAAGCAAAAATGCATCTCTGGCACAGGAATGGAGAAGATTGCTAATTTAATCACAGTAGATAGAAGAAGGATAAATTATCTGTAAGATGTCATTAGTGAGCACTACAGCTTTAGATTTTTACGATATTCTATAAAGTCTTAAATCTCTTTTGTGACCCAAGGAAAATCACGTACATCTTTTATCTCCCATTTTCACCCAGTTAGAAAGTATTGCTTTTGCATTTGTCTGAGTTGGGAATTTTCAGATCTTTCATAGGTGTTAATTTTTTTTTTTTCTATGCAACACTGGTAGTCATCATGTTGGAATTAGGGAAATGACTTAGAAACTATATTTTAAGTTTGAAATGGTAACTAGTATACTTACCTAGACATTTTTTGAGATCCATTGTAGAACTCTGAAATTCTGTAGGTTGACTGATTTATCTATTTAAAAGAATGTTTGACCTGATTGCTTCTGACACACTCTGTATCACCAAGAATGCAGTGCAATTTATGTTTACTTTTGATATTTCTTTTAACTTCTATTTTCTTACTCTATCTCTAATTTTGATTTAATTAATTTTAAAATTTCTGCCATGGAGTTTCATACAGTTTTATTGGAACTCTTTTCTTTCAAGCAACATCTTATTCATAGTATTAATATTGTAACAGATTAACATCACCTGGAAACTTACCAGAACTGCACATTCTTGGGCCCCACTTCAGAACTGTAGGAAGAAAGTTTGAAGAAGTTCTCAGGTGATTCTGATGCATGCTCAAGTTTGAGAACCACTGGCCTAGATAATGCCAAGGGCCCTTACTCAAGGAGTCCCACTTAGCCTTCTCTGGGACTAATGGGCTATACTTGGTCAGCTGTAGTCTCTGGGGCTGTCTTCATGAAACATAGCTTAAAATGTAACGCTTTACTTTATAAGTATGACACCTGTAGGTTGTGGCACCTGACTTTGCAAAATATGTGTTGATTCTCTGGTTTTGTTTAGAGCTGAACTCATTTCAGTAAAGTAGACTCCATCTGACTGAAGGTGAAAACCTTCCTAAACCGTGGAATAGTAGTAGCTGTATTAGCTAGGTTTATATTGGCCTTGTGACTGTACACAATGTGATTATAGGCAATGGTGGACTACATAAGCTATCTCTGCTGTAGGATATGTGGATCTGTGACATCTCATATCACTGGAAATTTGTCTCTTAACAGGTAGATTCTTTTTTTTTTTATTATTATCATAATCTTCTTTATATTACATTGGATTACATATAACTTTACATTGACTTCCATTGCTTTTTCAAAAGGGAATGCCATGCATGTCAGTCAATACAGAGGCATCGATCTCCCCGCTTTATCATTCAAAGTCTTTTCCATGCATTTCCCAATAATTATTATTATTATAATTTTTAAAACAGTCAATCACTATTTCTCATTTTGCTTGTTAAAAGACTTCACCCATCATGAAATACTTCGCAGACCAGTCCGGTTGAGAATACTACACACGTCATCATCAACAGATAGATAATAAACCATATCTGTTTCTCACTAA